AGTCTGACCAGCAGAAGTCCCTCAGAGGACGCGGGTGTGAGCCCCGGGCCCCGTGGCCGGGCCCCGGGAGGACAGAGGGTCACCGGCCGGGACGCGTACGCCCTGGCCCTGGGCGTTAATGCAGGGGCGGGAAGGGCTGCCAGCCCAAGTCAGCCACAGGCCGGAGCACCAATTCCGGGCAGCAGCCCACCCCGGCCGACCCACGCGCGGCCGCGCAGAGGGGTCCGAGTGCAGTGGTGGGCCCCACGGGAGCTTGGCGACAGGCGGACGGGGAACCTTCCAGCCTCACCCCGCTCCAGTTCTCCAGCCCCTGCGCTGTCTCAGGCGGCTGGTCGAGGAGGCCTGGGGGCGGGCGCCGGGGGCTGGATGCTGACCTATGGGAACCGGGTCTGGGCTGGTTGCCCGGAGCTTTTACAGAACGCGTGTCTGACCATGGCGCCTCTGTGAGACCAAAGGCCCCAGTGCTTCCCAGGGGTGACCATCTGAGAGGGGTACAGGCCAGTGCCAGGGGGAGAGGCATGGAGGCCCTGCCCAGGCCTCGAGGGTGGTGGCGGGGGCAGCAAAGCGGTGCCAGCACGTGTGGCTCGGCCTGGTCCTCTGAGATTTGGTCCTCACAGAAACGTCTGCAGGTCCCCGGCTGCTGTCAGGAGCCTGCGGGGTCCAGCGAGCTGGCTGCCTCTCCCAGCACAGAGACCAAGGCTTGGCTGTCCCTCTGGGGAGGTGACATTTGCTTCCCCGTCCTGAAACCCCAACTCCACTATCGTGGCTCAGAAAGACCCCTGAACCTTCGGGCAAGGCCACAGGAATGGCTATGGGAAGTGGACATCAACCCGGCTGTCCCACAAGAAGGTTCATATGTGGCCTGAAAGAAGTAAGCCGGAAGTAATTTCCTGGGTCCCCACGTGCCTCACCCTCCCCTGTTGCCCACGGCGACCGCTTTCGGTCTCCTGTTAACCTTGAGAGGAGACAGGCCTCCCTGGGGAGCCAGCGTGGCTGGCGGGAAAGCAACAAAGTAACGCCTTCCCTTCCCCCATCCCTGCGCGCTTGTCACAGCCTTTAGAATGTGCTTAATTGTTTCCAGTAGACGGGAGCTGGGATGGGTTCCTGTGGGACACGGTGTGCTGTGTGGGGTCACGTAAGGACGTGTCCACGGAGGCAGCTGGAGGTCCCTTCCCCAGAGATGTCATCTGCAGAGACAGCAAAGTCTGGGACCGCATGGCCGTTTTTCCTCCCAGTCCTGTGAAGGTCCTCATGCTGACTGCCAAAGCTGGGGGAGGGGTGTCGGGGGAGCCCAGACTGGGGTCAAGCTGGCGGGGTCCACCTGGTGCTGGGCCGCAGGGCCCGGCGGCGGGCAGAGGGGCGGGGAGGCGGCCGGCACGGCAGGCTTGCCTCTGGCGGCGAAGCGGGAGGCCGGCGGGCAGCTAGGGCTCGGCGGCGTGCTTGACTAGGTAGCCGCTGAAGGTGATGTAGGTGTCGAACTCGTCGCTGAAGATGGCATTCTCCCGCTCACCCTTGAAGAGGCGCACCCACACCTCGTCCTGGTCCCGCAGCTCCAGCATTAGGCTCTGGCTCTGCATGATGCTGCGGTCACTCACCTGGGCGTAGAGGATCACCGCCTCCTCCTCGTTCTTCATGATGTGCAGGTACGTCTCCTTCTGGTTCCAGGTGTGCACGTTGAGGCTGAAAAAGTAGATGCCGGGCACGTAGCAGTAGAACTTGCCCGTGAACATGTTGAAGTGGCCGTAGAGGTTCACGAACTCTGTGTCGAAGATCACCGTCTGGTAGTAGTCGTTGCTGTGCAGGGGCTTCTTCCGGCCCACCGAGAAGGCGGCGTAGTAGTTCTTACACCGGTCCCCGGGGGCCCCCATGGAGCCTTTCTGCCCTTTGGGTCCTGCGTGGCCCCGGGCGCCCACGGAGCCCGCTTTGCCGTATTTCCCTTGCAGGCCTCGGTCTCCCCGGTCACCTTTCTCACCTGCAAGGGACGGGAAAACACTCCGCGTCAAGCGAGGCAGAACCCCCCCCACCCCAAAGGCTGCTCTGTCACCCAGAGCCAACCGTTACTCTTTCCTTCTGGGAAGTGCTGGCAGAGGAAGGGGAGCTTGTGGGTTTGTCCAAAGGCAGCCGGCCGTGGCTCACTCGGCACAAATGGGCTGCAGATGTCGGCTGGCCCGGACCAGGACCGGGCTGCGGGTCCTCCCAGTCCGATTGGCAGGGCTGTGCGAGGTCATCTGCCGTGCGCAGGACCGTGGGGTGCTGACGGCATTTCAGAAAGTGGGCTGGGAGTTCGCAGGGGGCACCGAGCCTCAAAACAAACCTCCCAGAGGCCTGGAGAGCCAGTGCAGGTGGGGGCGGCCCCAGCCGCCCTCTGAGCCCACCCGTCCCGGTCCTGCGGGCTCCTTTCCAAGTCCCCTTCCTGGAAAGGGGCCGGCAGCCTCAGAAATGGAATTTCCTCTCCCGCCCCCATCCGACGGCCGCCCGCCTCTGCTCCGCGCCCCCACCCCGGGGAAGGTCCCTCTCTCGGCCTCCGCCGCAGCCTGACCTTTCAGGATGGTGAGGTTGATCTGTGGCACCGGGAAGGCCGGGTACGCGGGGGCACCAGGGTCACAGCAGCGATAGCACCGAGAGGCGGCGGCCTCCTCGCCTTGCCGGGGGCCGTATTTTTCATGCTTTTCTTCAGCCCTAAGGGAGCAAAGAAATCACAGTGAAAGCCATGAGCGCGGGGAACCAGGACTCCAGTCTCTCCCGAGGCCAGAGGCTCCGGCACGCCTGACGGGCCTGCTCTCTCGCCCGGAGCGGGGAGGCTGTGTCGCATGGGTTCTTAGTGAATTCTGGGACCCCGAATGAAACTGCAGAAAGGGCTCCCTGCCCTCTGTAAACAGCAATTAATAGCAAAAGAAATGATAATAACGAAAACAGCAATAATTCGAGGGCTTTGCAAGACACGGGCTGCTTGGGAGAGATCTGCCCTGTAGAGGGAGGTCTCCAGATGCCGTGTGACGATGCTGTGACGGCCCATCCCCTTCGCGCATCTGTGATTCCAGAAGAATCACTGCAGATGAGACGCCCCGACTAGATCTTGGGGTTCCTTTGAGCTGCAGCAGCCAGAGACCGGTATTTACAACCGGACCTTTGAAGACCAGCTCCTGGGCGGGGTGGGCGGTGACAGGCCCGTGCTGCCACCTTGTGGCATCGGGCTGCGCTGCACCGTACCCTCTGGCTTTGCCGCCCTTTGCGCCCAAGCTCTAGGGCTGTGACAGGCCCATCTCAGAGGTGGCACAGTCCTTCTCGGCCAGCTCCTTCTCTAACTCCACTCCCAGTTGCAAACCCCAGACAGCCTGGAAATGGATCTGTATGCCCTAAATTCAGCCGCCCACAAGCCCTGGACCCCCTCATGGACCCCTGCCCCCAGCTCTTGCCAGAAGTCTCCACCTAGAGACTCAAGCAGACCCGCAATGCGAGGCGTCTGAAACTGAGGGCCAGTCAGTGTTGCTTCGCCCTAGAATCTTCTCTTTCCAAACCCTCTTCCTAGCATCGTCGGTCACCCAGCCTCATTCTAGATGCTTCTTTGGCCTCACCGCTACTTTCCGAGGATGACAGAGGCCTGAGGAGTGAGAAGCCCACCTCACCTCCGCAAACTGTCACCTTTGTGGCCACTCTCCTGGAATGCATCCCTCCCCGTGCCGATGCAGCCTCTGCCTCCCTCCACTGCTCTTTCTAGAACTCGGGTGGAATTTAAACTTCTCCATGACCCCCTTGTAGGGTAAGGTTCAGGACAGACCCCTCGAAATCTCCACCCTCCGGAACCAGCTCCCTCTACCTCAATCCCAGCAGCCCTGGCGCTGCCAGGTACCAGTGTGGCCACGCCTTCGCAGGGCGGCCTTCTCCTCCTCCTGCATCTGGGGGGCTCCCAGGGGTCCTTCAAGGCCCAGTCGCTCCTCTGCATCGTCTTCCGCAGCCCCCGCCCCCAGCCCACCGCCAGTCACTGCATCGGGTCATGTGCATCTATCCCCACAGCCTCAGTGTTCCTGGAGGCCACGGACCATGTCATTCATGTGTGTGTCCCCGATGCCTAGCAGATGGCTGGACCGATAGCAGGGACTCAATCAATGTCTATTGAATGGCAAGAAGGATGAGGAGGGCTGCGGAGGGAGGAGGGGTTGCTTTGCCCTAAATCCTGTGCAACTCCGCTGCTCTCTGAAGACAGCCGGAAGCTTCTGCAACAAGGCAGCCCGGGGCTCAAAACCAAGGACAGACCGAAAGCCGTCGCCAAGGCGTCTGGGACCTCACGTGTGATGAATGACCGTTTCACGCGAGATCCTAAGCACACTGTGTCTCCCTATGAAATCTCCCGAATAGCCTGAAGTCTATATGCCACCGGAGGCCACGTATATGGGGACAGTGCCTCTCCGAAGCAGCCCATAACTTCTCGAGGACAGCCGCCACTTCCCCAGCCGTCCTCAGCAATCCTCCCCCAGCTTGCCACTTGATCAGATGGTCGTGGGGACCCTCGTCCCTGCCTCCTACTTCCTGGGACCCCAGCAGATCTCGAAGGACAAAGCGAGGGTGGAGAGGAGCCGAGGGCCAGGCCGGGGTGGCGCTGTGCGCGTTAGCTAAGGACGTGGCCGCCAAACCCCCCACAGATTCACATTCCTTTAGGCTTGGAATGAAGCTGGGTTGCTGTCCTCGGTTTCAGATAAGGTGCCTGCGTCACTGAGAAAAGAAAGGCCAGTCTGTCCCCCGGGACCGGCCTCCCCGAGGACAGCATCTCAGCCTCGCTACTGCCCCTTCGCGTCCAGTGGCGAACTGGCCCCTGGGTGCCCAGACCCCAGACTCGGCCGGCCCAGCCGCAGCTCCCACATCCACACCGCCGCTGCCTCACCTCTCAGTGTGGTCCAGCAGCGGCTCCTCGGTCCCCTCCGGCTGTTCCTGCTGTTCCGGCTGGTCACGCGGCACTCGGCCCAGCACCGGGCCACAGGCGAAGGCCAGCAGCAGGCAGCACGCCAGCGTGAGTCCCAGTGCCCCGGAGCCCATCTTCCCGCTGCGCCCTGCTGGGAGAGACGCACGAGGAAGAACGGGGTGGGCAGCGGCCCGGCCGAGAGACGGCCGGAAGCTCGGGGTTCACCAGACGCACGACACCAGGGAGCGCCTCGGCCAGCTCTCCTGCCGGGAGGGCGGCCCACACACGCGCTCTCACACTCACCCACGAATACGCGCATAGTCATGCACACACACTCCCACACTCATACTTGTGCAGGGCACACACTTGTGCAATCTTAACACACTCACTGTACTCACAAGCCTCGGCATTCACGTGCATCGCACACTCACATGCACACGCACTCTTACATACTCACACTCACATGCGCACACCCTTGACACACTCGCACACCCATGCTCAAGTACACTCCCATACACAGTCAACTCATTCACACCCTCAACACTCTCGATACACTTATTTATATACACACACATATCCACACTCACATGCACACTCACATATACTCCCATACACACTCACATAATTCACATGCACACACGCGTGCTCACACTCAGACATGCAGCCCGATTCAACATACACGCTTTCCACACACTCATAAAATTATACTCACACTCTCACACACTCTCGTGTGCACATGCACCCTGCCCCTGCCGCCTCGTCCCCTGGAGGGACCTCTCAGCCACTGGGCTCTGCAGATGGCCATGCACTGGCCTCATTAGGACAATGAGCAAGACCCTGAGTGAGTTTGGGTGGTCGCTGTCCGGTGACTCTGCCCCCATCTGCACTATGGGGCCAGTGGATCGGCAGGCGGCGACATGTCACTCTGTGGCCACCAGGGGGCGTGCCAGGGAGCGTCCCTGAGCATGTAATTTAGAGCGGGTGTCAGCCCCAGCCTTGAGGGTGGTCATCGTTCATGAGGCCAGCCCCATGGTGACCCTCCAGAAAGAACTGTCCACGGGGGTCCCCAGTGAGCCCACTGGGGGTCAGGCCTGGGGCTTGAGTAGGCAGGACACCCCACTAACTGCGGTTAGACCTCGCCCATCCTGGTTCATCACTTTACACCTCAGAGGGCCTATGGGACCTAAATCGACGTCTCGGCCGCCCCGTGAGAAAGCCGAGGCCCCGTGGGAATAAGAACCACACCCCTCACGGTCGCGTTGTGTGCGTGTGTGATGGGGGTGGGTAGGCAGGTCGTTGTTGACAGGCAAACAGCACGTGCAGGGGGACATGCGCCAAAGTCCCCCATCTTTTCTTTAATTCCTGTCTTA